ACACAACGTATCCACGTTTCTACGCATATAACAATGCTTACTCTGGGTATGATCAAGCAACTGAATTTTCACCGCAATATTATGTAATGCAGTCCTCGCCTATGAAAATGATGGCACCTCAATTTGCTCCTGTTCCACTACGGTGGGATCCTCGTGCAAGTTCGATTTCATGACGTTGTTAATGCAGCGCGCGCAAATGTTGAAAGATTAACTTGAGTTATTTGAGCCGGTATAAACACTGAACGAATGTACCAAGGTTAAGTAACTTGACCTTAGTAACTGTTTACCTTGGTAAAAGCTCAAATGTAAACACAGCATAAGTTAGTAAATTAAGTTGGTGAAGCATCACACTAAAAACTATAATTCCCGGTATAGCAAAAGTTGCTTAGATTACAAACAAAATTTTCCAAATAAATAACTGTAAGTCCACTGAGAAAATATATAAATAAATATTTATGATTAATAAATGCACCTATGCCCTTCCTTAAAAGTCAACGATCAAGGACCAGACCGTTGATGATGTAAATTAAACGGTCAATTAACTTTGTAGGTGATTTACAGCGCCGTATAACTGTGGAGGCAAGCCGGTCCGATCATGAAGGACCATGAAGGGACAGTCGCCCCTATATTTTGTCATTTTGGCAAGAAACACTCACGGCACATATTTCTCTTGTCCATCTCTAGAAATCTCCTCCACTTCATTTTCCAAAAGGCTTTCTATTGCGATATCCACAGCCAAGCGAGACGCCATTTTGAAAGAGTTTGACATCCCGAAGTAGCGCATGTCATGGGATCATGTTATGGATCTAAAATCGCGGGCTCGTACATGCAGGTGTGAAATTGAAAAAACATGGCGAGCTGAGATGGCGATCTTTGAACAGTTGGGCGTCAACAGTTTCCCTACTGGAGGTGAATTTAGTACAATTTGCTGAAAAGGTTGGTCAATTTTAAGCGTATAATATTTGTACGTTTACAACATAAGCTTTTTGAGTTCCCGTTATAAAAAAGACAATATTTGTTCGTCATTCAATCGAGTTATTTTATAGTAACGCGAGTAGAATTTTTGGATAACGAGAAATGCTGTGGGAATACGAGCGGAAGGCAAGTAAGTGCCTCCGCAGATTTTTTCGAACTCTCTGAAACTTTCATAAGACTCCACAGAAACACAGAGGAATTGCTTTCTATTTCTTTTCGACTAAACTGCGAGGAAAAGACATGATTTCGATTATCAAAAAGGAAATGCCATTGTTTTAGGGGAGATGTAATCTGATTGGCTGGGCTATCATACACTTCCAGCCATTTTGTATACAGTAGAAAGACGTCATATCCAAATTGGTGACAAATCAATCAAAACCCTATTTGAACGAAATTAGTAAGAATTTTTTCTATCCCGTGAGCAGAAGTCTGCTACTTCCTCTGTTTCACTCAAAAAAAAAATGATGGCTGCAAATAGTTGTTGCTAATCGTGTTATAGTATCCTGCTGTTTAGGTTTTTTTGTTTTTTTTGGCGACCAAAATTTTTCTGTTAGTAGCCAGCTGGCTCCCGAACAAAAAAGTTAATTTCAAGCCCTGTTGTTAAAATATTGCCTTATAGAATTTGACACCACCTACGATTTGTGTTTTGCTAGTACAAATTGTGTTAGCTTATTTCTCTTGCAAGATAGTTTAACTTTTAAATTCCCCCTGAACTTCAACAAGATTTCTGTTGTTCTGTGCTTCCAAAGGATGTAAAATGCAACACACAAATTAAACATGTTCAGGCAATCAAAAACCTGTCCAATGTAGGCAGCCGAACACCCTATATAGATTGTGTCAGGTCAGATATCGTGCTGATAGCTGGTCAGAGTCAGCACTGTCGTGCAACAATTGGCGTATGGTCGCCAAACTCCAGCAAAACATGTGGATACTGGAACACAGTTAACAATGGCAAGTCCCTGACAAAACTAAATCGATGACCAGTGACATTTAATCAATGGGTATTATCAATGGGTAATCAACTTATTAGTCTTTGATTATTGGCAATGATCATTGAGCAATGAATGACCAAAAATTTTTCTTGCCTATTGGTTACACATGAATACATTGATTACTCCTCAATGTCATAGATTATACACTGATGCTATCGAATACTCATCAATTACTTACTGATTACCTGTTGTTTACTGAATGATTGCACATATTGTATTATGCTGCACATCTATTATAATTTTCCAGCATTTTTCTTTATTGCAGCTGACTTTTCTTCCCTAAATTTGTATGTGAATTATGGTGTGAGATGATAATAATAGGCAAAGAGAAATAGTACATGTACCTTGAAAAATTTCTTTATTTTATTTCTTTACAATTTTTGATTTGGTATTGGGCCTACTCTCTTATCTACTATCACCTCATAGCGGGTCGTACAGGGGTATTCTTGTGATGTGTAATTAGCTGATTTTATTTTTCATGAAATATGAATGTAAGAAATTATTCTTCATGATCCGTGTCCTGAAGGTTTTGTTTGACCCATGAAGACCTTGAATTATTAAACGATATTTGTGATTTCACCACTCTATTCTTTGTGATTTTGAGACACAAGTCCAATGAAAGATTTGATGTTTCTTTGGGCTGTTACTATACAATGTATGAAGTGGACGAATGGTTAGAGTCGTATATCGAGAGTGATTTAGGTATGCGACTTAGCCTTTCACAATTTTGCTTTCTTCAAATACTCTTTCTAGTGTAAGAGCAGGGTTTTTAAAAAGAGTTCCTTGCTTATTTTCGTGATTTGGAAAGTGAAATTTTTATTTCCATGGTCAGCAATTCGCTATTTTTTTCATTCGTGAACCATTTCAGAGACCCTCCTGTACAACCCTCCTCATAGTCATAGATACTTCCAGTCCATAATCTAATTGTTAAACCGAGTGCAGTTACCAGCACAGTCTTCTTTACAGTGTGTTTTTGTTAGTAATAGTTGCAGAATATTTTTCATTATTTTAGCTATGGTTTCCTTCAGTTCTTTGCCTTCTGCATTGGAAGAAAACAGTCCATGCATAGTTTTGAGATCTCCTATGTCGCTAAGCAGAAAGAGGACACAATATTGTGGGAGAGAGTTTGCTTTGGGGTTACTTGCAATTGACTTAAGATGGTCACATTTTTGTGTCTCACTTAAGGACGGTGCCTACTTTTGTTAGTGCGCACACATTCTGCGCATTATGCGAGGCATGGTTTAAGCGCCAGGCGCGCGCTGGGTTGACATGATGCAATCAACTACGCTACCAAGTACACGACTAAATTGAATCAAAATTTTCCTACTGTGACCAAATCAAGTTTAATGAGCCTGTACTTAAACCAGAAACACCAGAACAGTAGCATATCGCTAACCACTAACTGTTAATGTCTTCCAGCTGAAAAACTAGCTGTTATTTGTCAAAAATTATACTGAATTCCAACTGTAAACATGTACCTGCAGATGGCGTAGTACACGCGCAAAACGAGTTCAAGATAAGCAAATGTTTTACTTACTGGGGAGGTGACAGGAAAAAATGTAACAAGCACCGTAAAAAGTTTAAAAAAGGATCAATAACTTTAAAAAACGCGAGGTTACTCCTATATTTTATGTTATGAAATGGAAGTGGCAAGCCTATTCAGCACGTAATTAGTTTCTGGTTGTGACCAAAAGATATTTAGACTGTATTTTAGTTGAAACGGAGGAAGGCTGTCAGAGATGCTAAAAGTGCTGTTGCAACGATTTTGTTATTAAAAACATACCAAAAATAGTTTTTATGGTACCATTTACCATGTAGTTTTCAGATCTTTATAAATGTGTTTGTTTTTCTGTATGTAAAGGCGAATTCTAAAGAAAGCTATGAAGAAATATCCTCTCCTTCTATTTTCAGAAAAATGCTGATGTCAGCATTTTTGTTGAGATTCAAGGCTAATTATCCCGAAAAAATGCGTGGCTACCCTCTTGTTTCTTTGTGGATTCCGAGAGCCCCTGCAAAGATCTACTTTTTCCGCAAGGTCCTAACCTGGCGCAAAAACCTTTGTATTTAGTAGGCACCATCCTTAAAGGCATAAAGTGGAAGGGGGGTGTTTGACCTTGGAAATCCAGGTGTGAGGGGCATCTAGCTTTCACGAAAATATGTCGGCTGAAGGGGGGTTCAAAAGAATCGTCCCATCCATCAGCGATGATTGGATTTTTTGTGGAAATATCAATAACCAATGTCTGTTGGAAAGTACTGAGAAGGTCCTAGTCCAAATTGAAAACTGGGTCAATTCCAGCCTTTGGGTATACATTTGGTATATGTTTCTTCAATAAAAATTGGATAATTGTAGATTTTTTGTTTTAAACTGAAAATAAGTCACCCGGAAGGTGTTAGTCAAGTTATCTCATTAGTACCAGCATTATGCATAGTTATGGTATTGTGTTATTTTATACTGCTGACTACGGAGCAAGGTTTCTGAATTGATTTATTATGATTTGAACAACGTAAGTAAATGATAAAGCATGTCAACCGAATTTTTGTCAGAATACTCGGCAAAGTTATTTACAAATTATGCGAAACTATTATTACCTATTTATTTAAACATCTTCACCTTATACAGAAGTCCGAGTGTGATTGTGAATAATTTCAGCGTATTTTTAGACGTGACGTCTCACTTTTGTTTACTTTCGGATTTTTCTGCCTTGATTATCAGCATGGGTTAATTGTCATTTTATGCTAATTGCCCTCTCGGGTGATTCAATTTTTCCATGAAACAAAGATGAATTTGCTTGCGGTCGGTGGAATATTATTAAACAGAATCAAACCTGACAAAAACATTGCCCCACGTATTGTTAAATTGTGACACAATGCGATATGAAATTTTGATCTTTGAAATGGAAATTGGCAACATGACACTGAATGCGAAATGCTTTTAATTGATGATATCATTTGTTTATTGTTTTTAAAAGCTTCAGGTTCTCCTTGTCATCTATTTACAGACCAGATCCGTCGCTGAGCGAACCCAGTGAAAGCTAAAGATCACTCATGCGGAACCAATAAGCTCATGGCGTGAGTCAAGTCAGCTGGAAACCCCGTCACGTGACGCGATAAGAAAACAACACTTCTCGAACGCTATTGTGAAGTTCATTCAAATCAAATATGTACGCAGCGCAATAAACACCGGTCGCCTTCAGGAGTAAAATAAATCGTTTTTAATTCCTTCTGGTCGCATTTCTGGACACTATGGATGGCCTATATCTTAAAATAACCCAGGATTTTACACCTGACCCCAAGGAAGCAAGGTTCGGTGGTAAAGATGCACCGATGGCTGTAGAAAAGGGCGATATTATTTTTGACGTTCGGAAACGCGGGGATGGATGGATGTATGGCAAGAATTTAAACAGTGGAAAGGTTGGAAAATTTCCTGAAAGTTGCGCGGCGAAACTGACTGGAAATAACAAGATGGGGAGCGGCTCGGGAAGTCCAGATTCTGACAAGAAAGACGAGAAAAAAGATGACAGAAAACCCGCCGTAAATAACGAATTAGGCAAAGAGAAGCCCGCATGGCTTCAGAATCGAACGAATACGCCTATTACGAAGAAAGCGCCGCTTTACCCGAAACCTTTTGCCGGAAATATGAGGCAACCGCAAGAGAAAGAGAAAGAGGAAAGGAAGGAAACGTCGGGTGACTCAGGAGTTGTAGAAGATTCTCCAGATGGAAATTACTGCAATGATGATGAAAAGCCAACGAACCGAGACGCTTCGAAAACCGGAAATACTGTCAAGGATGATAAACATGAGCCAAAGATTGGACTGAGATCTCTTCAGACAGTTCACAAACAGAAACCAGAAGCTAAGGCGACTGAAACCGACCGAGTTAAGGCGATCGGAAGGCCTTTCAAATTGAACTTAAGCAAGAGTGGCGAAGGATCAAAACCGAGTGAACCCAGAGCTGTGCCACGGTTGAATACGAAGAATACAACAACGGCAGCGAGAGACACTCCGCGATCACTACAACCCACGCCACAGGAAGATTTGAACGAAGACCAAAACTACGAACCGATTGAAAAGAGCGAGAAGAAAAAACCTCAGGCCAAAGAAACGCCTAAACCTGTTCAACCGAAGGAAGAACCCAAAACAGCCGATATCACGGCGGCTAAAATTAATCCGATAGGCAACCAAAAGAAAGTTGACGAGAAAACTCAATCAAACGTGACCAACAAGAGCTCTGCTGGGGGCGCTGCAGTTAATATTCAAGAAAACCCTTTGTCGAAGGACGAAGGTAGTATTTATCAAGTACCCAGTGTTGTTCCTCCTAAACCTGCCCGATCGAACGTTCCAGGGTGCGCAGAGTGTAACGAACCTCACATCTACGACACGCCAATGCATTACAAGACTCCACCGTCATCGCCATCGACAGGCAAGCGAGATAACTATGAGCCAACGATCAAGAAACCGAAAGAGGAGAAATATAAAAGAAAAGGCGGTTCGACAAGTCTGAAGCCAACATCATCGGTGATCAGGAAAACGAAAGAGCAGATGAAGCACAGAATGGCTTCTTACGAGAGCATAGAAGCTGAAGGAAGACGCTCCACTGAGAGTATCAAAGATGCGGTGCGCGCGGTGAATGAAACCAAAGAGAAGTTACTAGCGCCGAACAAGCGGCCGAAGATACGAATTTTAATGGGCATGCTTTTAGGATTATTGCTGGGTGTGTTCATATTTTTGACGTTGTACCTCTTGGCTCAATTGCACGTTGTCGTTTGTGTCGTTTCCGCTCTGTTGATTGGTTTTGTTGTGGCTACAATCTTCGGTTTTCTGGACAGGACGCGTCTTCAGTGCATCACGTTGCTTGTCTTTCCAAGCTTGTTTGGCTGTGGCGGAAAAATTTCATTCTGGTTGCTTATCACGTTTTTTATCGTTTCTGGTCCAGCGTGCAATTTCATTGACAATGTACGCATCGTCACGCAAAGCAGGGCCTGTGTAATGGAAACGCACAACTTAGGAGTTAATCGCAGTTCTAATCTGTCTGATTTTGTTTTCCTGGATGGAAACAACCATGCCGTTGTACAGCGTGTACTCAAATATGAGAACATTTCGCACGCGGCGAGGAATTACATTGAAACTACTTTGCTGTCATCATCTGATCGCCAAGATAAGTCGTTTAAAAGCAATTATTCATCTGAGGTCATTTGCATGAGTTATCTACGTCGCGCATACAACATCTGTTCAAGTGAAGTGGACAACATGTACACCAACTGTATACGACTAAAGGCTTCAGTGAAATGCGAATTCCTGATGCCGAAGAACGCGTGTGATCACCTCTCTGACGCTCAAATCCAAGAAACGTGCGAACACATAAACAGCGCGAGTAACCACACGCTATGGCAAATTAAGAAAATTTTGGAACAAAGCCCCGAACGATTGAGAACAAAAGACATGCCTCCAGACAGTGACCATGCTACCATTATGGCGGGAGAGCTATGTGGATTTGTCAAGATTATCGCAATGCTGTTGCCTTTGCTAGCGTTCCTTGTGTTGTACGAAGCATACAGGTATCACAAACTGTACTTGTCCTGGAACGAATTTGACAATCATTTTCTTACGCTTCGCTTTAAGGCGATTGAGGACATGCGCAAGGCGAGCGGAGCCGCTGACTTGTTGGTACCTTTGAAAAAGGCAGAACTTCAGAAATTCGTTCAACCAACGGCCTGCCAACTGGCCAAGTCTGAGAAGCGAAGCATGCTGAAATATCTGCTGTTTTACTTCATTTACTTGATGTTCGCACTGATGATCATCCTCTTGGATCATTACTTCTTTGTTGTGATCACTGGCGATAACGAAGTGCAGTCCAATATTTCCAAGAGGTGTAATGGAGATCTCAAGAAGTTAAAGAAGACGTATATTATAATCCTATCTTCTCTGTTTGGAATCTTGCTGTTGATTATCCTCCTCCAAGCTTTCATCCTTCGCTTACGCCGCCTGATCTCCTCGCGTTTCTATCCAAGGAGAGAGAGAAAGCGTATCGCTTACCTTTACTACAAACTTCTTGAAGAACGTAAAACATTTTACAAGTCAGTCATTGAGAGTATGAATAACTTCTCCGAAGAAACTGAGATGCTCAATAGACTGGACGCAGTGTTGGTTCTTTGTAATACCTTCAGCTGGGTCAAAGCCGTGTTTGAGTTTGTTGGCATCAATATCCGCAGGTGTGCTGTGTGTGGAACGGGGCTGAACAAGAAGTACCTTTACTGTGACACTGAGGACTGCGATGTCATCTACTGCCGAACGTGCTTCTGGGACCTGGAAAACAAGTGCCTGGGGTGCATGCGCAGTAGCAAGATGACGTCACGTTCGTCAAGTTTGAGTGGCCAATCACAGAAGAGAAAGAACGATTACGTCAAACCTGTTTGATTTCACGATTAACATTGTTGTCCAGAACATCAGCCAAGCTATCAAGCAAACTGCCTAATAGCTGCCTATGAGACCGAATTGAGGGGAGTTGGCCCAAGTATTTAAACAATAGAAAACTGCGCTCTTTATAGAATAGTGACCTCGAGAAACATATTGAAGGAGATAACAACAAACGTTTTGCGCATATTTTAACAACAAACGTTTTGCGCATATTTCTTGATTAGTGCCATTTAAATTTACGAATTGTCAATGCGTTCGGTTTTCGTTAACTTTAAGTAGCTGATGTTGTTGCTTACAGTTTTACGGAGTTAGAAATCAAGGCTTAAGTTATCATCATTTACAAGAGTAAGGAGCAAAACAACGAATATACGATTTTTGAGATGAAGAACAGACTATTTAATGCTAAAGATAAAAAGCGGATTCGTAGTTGTGAGGAAAAAAGAGTAGAAAGAGGAACTGAAATAAGGATTTTCCCGCGTCGTTCTGGCCTTGACATGCAGTGAAGCTTCCCCCGTTTGGATCACTCTTTTTCCTGACTTATAGGCGGACTTCGCGTTCAGGTCACGCTTTCTCCTGCCAGGGTCACACTT